TAAACAATTGAGACCCTGCAATTGTGTCAAAATGACAGAAAAGTCAGATCCAGCAACCTGGGACTTGGTCAAATTTACAAATCCCATAGCACAGGATCTACCGATAAACAACATTATGCTTCCAATATCTTCCCAGGCAGTGATACCCCTCCCTGTTTGGAGCTGCCTACTACCTACAAAATATTACCTAAAATTTTACCAACAAAAATACCTTGGGAATAGTCACTTGGAGGGCTCTGGGTTGACTAGAGATGCAACACATTAAAACCACTGTGCGAAAGTAGCTACATTCTTGCCTGCACGACAGTCCACAGTGATCAGTGGAAGGTGTATCTGAGCCTCAATGCACTGGGGTGGTACTGATGGAGCAGACAATTAGCACCAAAAAGAGTTTGAATTACCAAATTTTTCAATGTGATTGGATGATGGTAAGAAAAAGAAATGAAAACAACAAGGCGAAACCACCCTAACATAACTGGGCTAGGATCATCTCAACCCAAAGACAACTCATACTCAGATAAATCGTACTCAAAATAGTTAACCTTACCCGCCACTCGTACCTAAGATAACCACACCAAACTCTTCGATTTTTTAGATGGAACAGCCCAGACTTTATGTAGTACTGTACTGAAGAATACTCAGTAACCACAATTCAACCACCAGCGGCATGTTGCTGACAACACTTCTCCCAGAATGTAATATATAATGAGGGCTGCAGCTAGAAAGGTTGTATATATGAATATACACAGTCGGTTCATAGTAGTGATAGAATGCTGCCAAATGGTTAATGATGACATCAAATAAGGCTCACAAATTTACAGAAATGTATCCATGATTAACAACTGTAAGTAAGAACTGGGCGTATTATTGTGTTGTAAATTCTCAGCTTTGTTGTTCTTGATACTGATCTTCATTTAGTCTTGAAGACTAACCCGGCTCCAATCCTGGCTATAATTTACATTGGTTTTACACAGTTTCTTCTTCAATCTTGTTTTCTTTTGTCATAAAGTGATCCAAGGTATTTAAAGGACTCAATTTTTAAATATTCAATTCAGATCAGTATTAAAATAGTGTCACCAGGGACCTAAATAGGGTTTCTAGTGTGAAACTCATTGTGTTAAATACAAATATAACCTCCATTACTTGGGTCGAATGGGGCATAGTGAATATTGTTAAAATTGGCAGATCAAACAAAGTAAAAAAACAAGCTAAAACACATAACAACCTACCTAACAAACCCCTAGTGCATAAGAATTTGTAAGTAAGAATACAGGAGGATAAGTATTCGACTTGAATGAAAGAAGTGGCCGTCAGTGTCCGTCTCTTACCACATACAATTAAGTCCTCGCTTAACGTCGTGGATTATGTTCTTGAAAAACACAACTTTAGCCGGAATCAATTTTCCCCAAAAAGAAATAGATAAAATAAGCTAGATTCGTTCCCCAACCTCTATGCCCATAAATACATTACATATCACACACATAAATTCAATAGAATTTTATAAATATATTATACATCCAAAAGATAATAAACTAAATCATTTGTATTGTACTCGAACAGACGGGCAGAAATTCCAATGTGATGGGTAATTAGAGGAGGAGGTGGTGAGTCCCACTGAGAGACCGGGCTCCCCTTCCCCTCTGACTGAGGTTCCCCCTCCGTTTTTGTAGCAAGGCTAATGGTCTTGACCTTGCTTCTTGCAACACTAGCTTCACTAAAACTTGATGGTGCTTGGAACCCATTTCAAATAGTTACAGTACAGTATTTATAGCATACAGTGGTCCCTGGTTAGCGAGATTTGATTAGCGAGTTACCTTCATAGATTCTTAACCGGTTAACGAGCAATCCACATTACATTAGCGAGTTCACTACGAGCTGACTGAACATAGTTTAAGCTTGCATTTGGCAGTCCACCAGCTGTAGTATTAGTCCGCCAGTACAATATCGGTTCTAGGGTTTAAATTCATACCATTTTAGTAAATATCAAAGTTTATACTATTCAATAATTTGAAAAGTTTAATAATAAATTTTTAGTAATTTTAACAATTATTAGACATGCCATCCAGCCTGCAACACACCATACAGGCATCAGTCTTTAGTGTCTTTTCAGTGGAGGTAACATCTTGTGAGACTCTCTTCAACTAAATGCTTTTTTCTGTGTTTGTAAGCAAATTGATAAATTCATTTGAAATTTATTTTACATATTGACAATATATAATGCAGTGCAGTGTTGATTTAAAGAACATAATCTTGAATTACCCAAGAGAACTAAAATTTTATGGGTGAAATGGCACCATGAAGTGACTTCTCTTCCCACCCAATGCCTTCTCTTCTCCTCCACCCCCATTCTAATTCCCATCATCATCATCACTCATCATCATTATCATCATCATCATCCAGGAGCCTTCTACATACACACCTCCAAAGTAAGTGACTTTTCTACCTTTTTGTTGAATTTAGGCAATTTTTGGTGAGCTGGAACCAAATTACCCCAAAACCCATTGAAACAATGGTTTCAGTTAACAGTTTTCGGTTAACGAGCAACCTTCTAGAAGCGCTTGTGCTCGTTAACCGAGGACCACTGTATGCATAGCCACACGTACACCTTGGAAGCCCTAACAAAGACCGGGGACACTTGGGGCGATGTGGCGCTCCGTGAGAAAGCGTGGCACCAAGATGAGAGAGGGTGATGTGTCATCTGAAGTAGTCCTTGTTGGTGAAAGCGTTATAATGAATCGGTCAGGATGTTTTTGGAATCACTCAGGCATCTAAAGGTATCACTTTATTCCCAAACAATGTTGTCCTTTAGCGAGGACTTACTGTACCATGCATGACAATCTACGGTACTGACACTCTGAATTACATCTCGGACACTTTAGATGAACAAAACCGTGAGCCCTAAAAATGAAGCGGCTGCTGCTTCATTGTCAAAATGTGCTGAATAATCCGGCAGCCAGCCAATGTACATCCATCTTGCACAGGCGCCATCTTCCAACTGGCGCGAAGCGCTCATTAGCGCCGCAGTAATACGTCATCAGCGCTCCGCTGATTGGCGCCTCGTCAATCCATCCAACACTCCCGCTGATTGGCCAAATAATATACTTTTGAGGGGGCCTTTATTGAAAACTGTACATTTCCGGCGGAAGCGTTATAGAATAAGTTATATTTATTAATTTTTCTCTATCTCCCCATATACTGTATGACTCAATACTCCAGGTCCTGGTATGAATTTCTGAATATTGACCCATTCACTTATACCCGATATGTTGTGGGTTTTGCCTTTGGTTTCTTTCCATGATCATTGTTTGGTCTTATCACATTTATCTCGAGTCCTGTTGAATTTGGTATTTCCTAAAGGTTGTGGCCATCGTATCTACTGCTTGGATGTTGTTGCTTACTATATCAAGGTCATCAGCATATCCCGACATTCTAAATTTTTATCTTATTCAATTCCTTCCTGCATATGGTGGATTTCTCATGAGCCTCACCAAACCAGGAGAGTACTACCGCCTGGGAAGATATTGGAAGCATAATGTGATGTCTAATGGTAGACCCTGCTGCTATATGGCATCACGAAATTGTGACCAAGTCCCAGGTTGCTGATCTGTCTTTCTGCCTCATTTACACACAATTGCAGGGGTCTCAACTGTCTCTTACTATTGACAACACCACAACTAAAACCTTACTCATTCTTGATCTGTTTTTATTCATTCTTTTATTCTCCTATGTCAGTTGATATTAGCTACAAGCGGGGCCTTCGGATGGGTCCCCACTGAGTGGAGAAGGTTGTGGACCCCAGGGCGACCTGATCATCATCAAGCTACTGGGCCTCAACTGACGCCCACCTCGGTTGCTAGAGGATGGCTTTTTCACACTTCATTTTCAACGGATTTGGAATCCAATTTTTCTTCGCTTAACACCATCTATTAACCTCTTCCCCGATCTCTTACTACTCTCCGAACTTCCAGCCAAAGTAGCTTCACCCAAACCTTTTCAAGTCTCTAACTACAGCGGGGTATGCTGCGGATCCTACTACGAATATTCACAAGACGGTTTTACTTATAAAATTGCGAATGCTATAACGAGCAAACTCCTAGCGGCAGCGGATGAATCCGGGACTATTCGCCTAGGCGCATGAATATTGTTGTACCGCGACCCCAACAAGGCGTCAGCATCTTTGTCTCATTGTTAGCAATTGCACCACTGTTATTGTTGAAATTTCGTCTTTTGATGTGGAAATTCACGTTATTTGTATAACTATTTTGTTATACAAGTATCCAATGTAACAAGTGGTGATCCAAGGGTGGCTAATAACCTTGAAACTAAGAAAAAATTATAAAGAAATGTGAGAATGGAAAAGCATTGCGAAACTTAGTGATGAGTATGGGATGGCTAAATAACTATATGACGATTTTGAAGAATAAAGGAGTTAAAAACTGTGCAAGTGGCTAAGGAATCTTTAGACTTAGCAAAGCAAAGTGTAATGTGTTTGAAGAGATGGAAAATTTACTCTTAGTGTGGATAAAGGAGAAAGAAATGGCAGGTGGTAACATTAGTGAAGCTATAATTTGTGAGAAAGGCCAGACAATTGTTTGAGGACCTTAAGCCAAGACTCCCAGTGGAAGTGATAGTGATGTGCCAGTGTTTAGGGATACCTGCATGCTGAATAACACTAGGGTAAGATAAAGTACCGTATTTTTTACATTTTCCACAGAATTTTCCAGTGTTAAGTGGTTGTATTTGAGGGCCTGGAAGCGGATTAATCCTACTTGAGAGCGAATGCTATAGACGAGGTTCTGGAACCAATTCGTTCGTTATAGCATACCCCATAGTACAACCTTTATACCTACTTCCGTTCTAAAAGGAGGTGTATACGC